GAGGAACTAGGATACTCGGACATAGAAAAGTTAGTGTTATCATTAATCAATGCGGAAAGGCGATTGATGAGATATTTTTTGGAACACTCGATAAAAGTTTTGACTAGCGCTCTTTTACGACAAGTGTTGCTAAAACCTGAAAAATCAGTACGGCTAGCAAAGTGTGTGGTTTAGTTAGGGGAGCATGAGATCAACTTTAAACCACATAATAGTATCAAGGCTCAAGCATTGATGGTCTTTATCATTAAAATTAAAAATAAAGGAGAGGTATTATGTAACATCCGAAATCCAAGTATATTTATTTTGTTTAAATTCAACATTTTGTAAAGAAAACCCTCCCCTCGTATGTTGGGCGTACGCGCTTCTACGCTTAGCATACGAGGGCACACATTCATCAGGAACCAGAGTCTCGTACGCTGTATAGATTGAAAACCCTAAGTTGTGGTCTTGTGCCCTACTTAAACCATCTTATAACCTTTGGACCTCATTTCTATCATCCTACTTTGCCTCTCAACGTCCCTAGAAACCCTAATAGCCATTGGAAGTGAGTTTGAGCTTGGAGTGTCAAAAGGAAGCCATTTTGGGTGTATTTGCAAGGGGAAGATCTTGTGGTACAATTCTTGAATCTGGTGAAGCTTCTTGATCCAACATTTCCTTCACCTTAGGGAGCTTCTGGAGGTATAAAGTCCATACCTTGCTCATCTATTGTTTAGATCTCCTTTTGGACTGGTCTTGGTCTCTTTGGTCCCTTTTTGAAGGTCTTGATGTGTCAAGACCATTTGTGATGCCAAAGCTGTAGATCTAGACGTTTAGTGGTCTCTTCTAGCGTAAAGGTGCAAACGTTATGGTGTTTGTCACTTCCATGCAAGCATTAAGTTATTTATTAAGTTATTTTGGGCATTTCGGCTTCATTAAGCCATGCATGCACGGAAAGTTGGCAACTTTACATGATTACCCACCTCAAATAAGAGCTTAATGGCATAGTTAGCAAATCAGAGGAGTATGTTGGGCGTACAAGCTCATACGCGCAGCGTACATGCCCTTAAGCAGGTACGCTTGGCGTACTAGCTGAGTACGCCCTACGTACTCAGCAAATGGTTTCAGTAATTTAGGCCTTCGGTGTGGGCTTCGCATGTGGACTTTAGGAGGTTAGGGGTGCATCGTGGGTTTTTGCCTGGTTAAGTTAGGTGGGTCAAGTTCCATTGTGGGCCTCTAGGGTCATGAGTTGGGCCTTTTAGGCCTTAGACCCATTAGTGTAAATGGGCCAAGTTTGGGTGGGCCCATTATAAGGAAACTTCTTTTGGGCCTTTGGGCCTTGTGGCCCATTATAGTTTGGACTTTGATGATAGGCCCATTAGTGAAGGAAGACTTTTAGGCCATAATGGTGTGATTTGGACTTAGGATTTTGGGCCCTGGACTAGGTTGTGTGCTAATCCTAATTAGGGTTATTTGTATATTTATTTAGTGTGAGATTTTGGATTGGTGTTCAAGTAGCTATTGTTTTTAGCAGACTGAAGTGAGTCTTCTCATCATACCAATGGGTTGAAGGCACCAATGTCAACCCATTACTTGATATGCGGTCTTAAAAGTTGATATGCAATGGTTTTGCTAGTTAGCATGTAATGAATTATGTGAAGACCATGGGGGGAGCCCATGGCACTTGGTTATCAGACCATGAGGGGAGCCCATGGAACTTGGTTATCAGACCATGGGGCGAGCCCATCACATTTCAGGTGAAGACCATGGAGGGAGTCCATAGCAATTCTATATATATGTTGGATGGTATTATGTGGTTCTATGTTTTGTGTGTTTTGGGAACTCACTAAGCGTTTGCTTACAGTTTGTTGGGTGTTTCAGGTACCTCTGGTTCTAAGGGGAAGGGCACGGCTTGATGGCATAACATTCACTCTCCAGTATTTCCGAATATATTGTTTGCGCTACTCTAATCTTTTGGATATGATTTGATGTAATGGAATTTTGGAAACAAAACATGATTTTTAATTTATAAATATTAAATGAAAAGTTTTATCTAAATTTTCGGGCTGTTACATATTAACAATAGAAGGGTTGTGCTTTACCAATACATACAATGGGCAAACTCAGGAAGAAGAATAGATGTTACATATGGATGCATCTTCATACAATGATAGGGCGGGAGCTAGCTTAATAATACCAATCCGATAGGAGAAGACATAATGTATTCATTATGTGTCAACTTTATATCATCTAATAACGAGTAAGAATATGAAGCACTTATAGCAGGATTACAATTGGCAATTAAAATGGGGTGCATACACATATGTGCCTTTGTAGATTCAATGATTGTTATGAATCAAACAAACTGGTTGTATGAAGTAATAGGAAGGAATTTAATACAATACACGAATAAGGTGAAAGAGTTAACAACCCAATTCAATACATTTAAGTTACAGCATGTGCAAAAATCGAAAACAAGTGAGCAAACGCATTAATCAAGTTAACATCGTGGATATTTTCATACCTCACAAAGAAAGTGCTAATTAAGGTGATCCAAAACAAGGAAATTGAAGAAGCACCGATGGTCTTAGCAATAGGAGGACTAGATGAATGGAGGAAAGAAATAATCGAATATCCAAATGACATCAAATTACCACAAGATGAGAAGCAATAATGGAAAGTAAGAATTAAGGCACCATCCTTCATAATAGAGAATAGAATACTATATAAAAGGGGATACCTTACACCTCAATTAAGGTATGTAAATGGCAAAGAAGAATAATATCTTATAAACAAGATGCATGATGGAATAGCATGGGCGCACGAAAGGGCACATGCATTGGTACAAAAGATAACAAGATTGGGATACTATTGGCCGACCATGTACCTGGACATGGAAGGCATTGCATATAAGTGTGAAAAATGACAAAAGCATGCACCTATACCATGAAAATCAACAACATCAATGATCGGTATCAGTAGCCCTTGGCCTTTTGCGCAATGGGGCATGTACATTATGGGACCATTCCCAGATGCACCTGGAAAAATAAAATTCTTAGTAGTAGCAACAGACTATTATACAAAATGGCTAGAGGTAGAGTTGCTATCTACGATAACTAGCCACAACATTAACAAGCTCCTTGGAAGCAAGTTATATGCTGATTTGGAGTCCCGCATACAATTATTTCGGATAACAGTACCCAATTCGCAAAAAACCCATTTCGGGAGTGGTGTGAGGATCTGTGAATAATGTAAATGTTCACATCTGCAGCACACCTAGAAGCATAATTCCGAACATAATTAACCAACCGGACAATAGTGCATGGTCTATCAACATGGCTAGATACATTTAGAGGACGATAGATCGATAAACTACCAAGTGTTTTATGGGAATACATAACAACGCTAAGAACAACAACAAAATTGACACCTTTCAGCCGAGTGTACTGATCAGAAGTAGTAATCCCATTAGAAATGATAGTCCTAACGAACCGGAAAACTAGTTATGATCAAACCAACAACGGTACTGGACTACAGACCAATTTAGAGATGATCATCGAAAGAAGAGAGATATCCGCAATACAGAAAGAACACTACAAGAAACAAACTGAGAGCTATTACAACCAAAGAGTTAAGGGAAGGTCGTTCAGAATAGCGGAGCAAGTTCTTTGAAAAAATGAAGCAAGCCGACAGGAACCGTAGGGTAGTTTAAGACCAATTTGGGAAGGCCTGTACAAAATCGAAGAAGTTAACAGGGATGGGTCATACATCTTGGAGACAAGGCAGGGAGAGGTGTTATCAAGGTCATGGCATGTGAAAAACTTGTGAAAATTTTAAGTATAAAAGGGAAATGCGTTGAAAACATCTAAAACAACGCATAATACATAGGAGGATGGCCAATATGCTAGTAGTATGAATAAAATGACATCTCAGTATATTTAATCATACTAGTAGTACGAGAAAAAGGACCAATCGATATACTTACTCCATGGTCTGGAAAAAAGCTATACCGTGCGAATCATACTAGTAGTTCGAGACAAACAACATCTCGATATACTTACTCCATGGTCCCAACAAAAGCTATACCATGTGAATCTTACTAGCAGTACGAGACAAATGACATATCGGTAAATTTAATCATACTAGTAGTACAAGACAAACGACATCTCAAAATACATACTCCATGGTCTCGGAAAAAGCTATACCATGTGAATCATACTATTAGTATGAAACAAATGACATCTCAGCACACTTACTCCATGGTCTCAACAAAAGCTATACCATGCAAATCATACTAGTAGTATGAGACAAACGACATCTCAATACATTTACTCATGCTAGTATTATGAGACAAACGACATCTCGGTGCACTTACTCCATGGTCTCGGAAAAAGCTATACTATGCGAATCATACTAGTAGTATGAGACAAACTCCATCTCGGTACATTTAATCATACTAGTATACGAGACAAATGATATCTCGGTACACTTACTCCATGGATACCATACTAACCATACTAGTAATATGAGACAAATGACATTTCGGTACACAACCTCCATAGTTTTGACGAAAATCATATCATCGTATTAATTGGGTGGGACAACCGACAACCAAAACATGTTTACCAATTTACCAATACAATGAGATCGCCAAGAGCATGAGGAGGATAAGGATATTTGATAAATAAACAAAGAAAATATACTACATGATAACTACCAAGAATAAGTAGAGCCTGGTAACAATAACAAATCCATGCCATGCTTGCAAGAAACTTAATAAATATATATCATGATCATGGGAGTATTACAAAGGAATACAACACTAACATACACGATAATAACCAATCCACACAAAAAAGGAAAATGAAATCAAATATCTGGTTACACTAGAATGAGACCATAGCATAATTGCTTGTCGGCAACAAAAATAAGATATCATAACTAGCTCGCCATATAACTTTCACGATAATTTGGTAGATAACTGAACACAGACAACTTCATTCTCCCGAAGAAACTTCTCATAATCACCCTCCGTAAATGATCTTTGACATTCCAAAAAAAATAACCCTCTCAGTCATAACGATATGTTGTTCAACCAACTCGGCATACATACCACCTGCTTTTATAAGAACCTCTTTGCCAGCCAACTTCATGCTATCAGCAGCCCGTAGGTTAACTTCAGCAGAGAGATAATGATCACGAAGAGTCAATAACCCATCAAAAAACTTCATTTCCTTAACATTGGTAATGGAAATGATCTTTTCATGTTGGGCCAGATATCGACAAGCTTTGTCGACTTCTTCCTAAAACAAATGACAGGAGGCGCAATCCTCTAAAAGAGAAAAAAGAATATTAATAAAAAGGAGAATAAAGGAAAAATATGTGTAACAAAACATATATAAAAAAGTAAAAGGAAAGGGAAAAAGCAATAAAAGAATGTAGCTATTATACCAACAACAACAAGGGCATGATAATCCGCAGACGGGGAAGAAATGGCAGCTCCAGATACATCACGAAGAAAATTCTTGAACTGATGAGGAGTTAATGTATGCTTATGGTTTCGAGTAGGAGGTAGGATGGTAAATGGTTCAACACCAACATCAGAAGGAACAACGAGAGGATGACGAATGTCAGAAGAGGAAAAGGAATCCCCTAACATTTGCTCAAGAGAAAACACATCCGACCTGCAACCAGGATGTCTTAGTGGCAACTCGGGAACATGCATGATGTCATAAACCTCCTTATCAGGAATAACACTTTCCAACATAATATACTGAGGAGTTATGTCACCAGATATGTATGAAATCAAATTGAAAGAACTTTTACTCCCATTTGAAATAATAAATATAAAGGCAAAGCCAACAACATTAATATCAATAGAAAATAGATAAGCAAAAGGAAAGCAAAAGCAATACCAATTTAAGAAAGGAAAAAGAGAACATTAAATAAGTACCAGGATAAAGAACTGATAACACATGCTGTTGATTACAAGCTTTCCATATTGGGCTCATGCGACAAAAAGCAAGTACAACTTTAGGAATCAAATATCTTCTTATACACATACGAGAGAAAGAAGGGACATACTTAAAAAAGTGAGGTGTAAGTGATACTGAATCTTACAACTAATGAAAAGGACCAAGAACTAAAGGAAGGCAGAGACTGTGAACATCTACCCAATAAAACTTGTTCTTCCATCCACCATTAGTACCAGGAAGATCTGGAGGAAGATGGACATGACTGGTGCTAAAAGAATACTTGTCACTATATTTGTTCGGATAATAGAAATATCGAAACAATAACACATGGAGGGGAGTGTGCTGCCCAACACAATAAGCTTCAAAAGCTATTAATTTTATACAACGCTCGAACAAAGTTTGAGATGATGAACACCATATAAGGAAAGAACTTATAAAAAGAAGGATGATGGAGGACGTGTTAACCCAAACACAAGGTGTCGGAGGTAGAAACCCATCTTACCATTGGGAGCATCAAGACCATAGGATAATGATGACAATATACTGATATCATGCACTGCAGAGAGCTGGTACTCATGCATGTACAGATCTAAAGTAAATCTGTCATAATCACAAACAATGGATGACCTGTCACATGTCATGACAAAAATGTACACCCCCAAACCAGAACGACGGAAACGCCTGGGGGCGAATGGAGTGACTTCATGTACAATATCATAACAATTAAATAGTAATGAAACATAGAAAACCAAGACCTCATACATTGATAACAAAAATTTACATTGTTTGCAACACTTTGTTTGTTCAAAAGTTAAATATAAATAACTTTAAAAAAAGTAGATAAACATGAGATGACGATGCCGACCCTCAGGGGGGGTTGAGTACCTGTCTACGGGGTTCCTGAGAATACAAATGATTTTGAAAAGTGTCAACAATTATGTTGGTGAGTTCATAAGCATTTTTGCATAACAGGGTTTATAAGTGTTTTTGCGAAAAGATGGTTTCGTATATTTCCATAAAATCCGATGTTTTCTTAAGTATAAACTTAAATCGTAAGTAATTCATTTGTACATTTTCCTTATAACGTAATAAAGTATATTTCCAGAAAATCCATTAGTTTCTTAATATGAACTAAAGTTGAAAGTAATTCCTTTGTATCTTTTCCTTGTAAGGTAATAATGTATATTTCCAGAAAATCCAATATTTTCTTAAGTATAAACTGAAATCGTAAGTAATTCCTTTGTATCTTTTCCTTACAAAGTAATAAAGTATATTTCCAGAAAATCCAGTATTTTCTTAATATGAAATAAAATTGAAAGCAATTCCTTTGTATCTTTTCCTTGTAAGGTAATAATGTATATTTCCAGAAAATCCAATATTTTCTTAAAGGTGAACTGTGGTCTTAAATCCTAATACCAAGATGGAAGTGAATATCATACAAAAAATAGTTTATAGTTTCATTTCTTTCAATAAAACTAATGAAGTATAAGTTTCCCGTAAACCAAAATCATTTCGTTAATCCGTACGTGAGTCGCTATAACCATGCTTGATACAACTAAAATGCCTGTCATGACGTTCTTTAGGCGTCGGTTTTGGTAAGATATTTGTCACCCTAGACTGGCCATTTCTAGCTGTAGCAAACAGCTCAGGTGTGGGGGTGTCAACCCCGTATAGATCTATACACAAATACCCCGCTCTCCCTCCAGGAGACTCTGGTTATAACTACCGGACTTACGGTGTACGCTAGGTAGGTCCGACGAAGGGAAGTCTCACAAGAGCATTAACAGATTTCCGTGAACTACGAATCCATTTTTACTTGTATAGTAAGATAACTATGCCTTTAAATAATTATACGTATATTCGAAAGGTGTGGTTGGTGGTTTCCAAACTATACCCATTTATAGTTTATCATGTTGATTTGAAACTATTTATATAGTATTTTATATAAATATAAAGGTGTATTCAAGCATGAAAATATGAAATCAAAACATAATATTTTGGTGTTAAAACCCATTAGATTAGTAAGTGACTATAAGGTGCCATTTTTTCTAGTAGAGTTATCTTTTAGTATAAGTTCCTAAAAACCATGTAGTTTTACAAATCATACTTTTCTTATGATTTTACAACATAGATTATGTTTGTTCTAGAGAATAAGTATCTCACAAGTATTTATACCAGTATAAACCATAACTTATGTAAATAATATTTTAGAGTAAATTACACGAATGGTCCCTATGGTTTGGGGTAATTTGCATGTTTGGTCCCTAACATATTTTTTTAACTCGAAAAGTCCCTACTGTTTGTTTTTGTTACGCGCTTGGTCCCTATTGTTTGTTTTTGTTACACGCTTGGCCCCTGTCTTACCTAAAAAGACTATTATTTAAATAGGGAAAAATGATAGGATATGTAAGGTAGGGTGAATGGGGTAGGGTTCGGGTGTGTTTATTTAAATAAATTAAAAAATCAAGGGCAAAATAATTTTTTTAGGTAAGATAGGGACCAACCGCGTAACAAAATCAAACAGTAGGGACCTTTCGAGTTAAAAAAACAATTTAGGGACCAAACGCGTAAATTACCCTAAACCATAGGGACCATTCGTGTAATTTACTCAATATTTTATCTTTAACAATAGATGCAAAGCATGAAATTATTTATGGGATAAACAATGTTTTACTTGTTTCCCCCCCCCCCCCCCATTAAAACATGGAAAAGCTTGAAAAATATGGGGGATGAACTCACCTTGAGTTGGTTAATGAGTTATTTGGGGTTATGGAGTGAAAATCTCAAGCATAAACTCTTGGATGAGTTAATGAACTTCCTTGGAAAGGATGTTGTCCTAAGAGTTTTTGTTACATATTAATATGTGTGACATAATATGAATTTATCAAGAAAATCATTTAAAGCACTAGATTGATGAATTAACTTACCAAAAACCCTAAGGAAAGCTTGAGGAGTTAATTCTTTAGCAATTTCTTACTCTGGAACTTGAGAGGAAAATTTAAGAGAAAAGAGTGAAGTTGGAAGATAAGGGAAATGAGGAGTAGTTATTTACTGTCAATGTTTATGAAACAAGGAAGGATGGGACATGTGCTTGGTAATCTAAAGGTTAAAGCATAGGTATCTGGTGGGTAATTCATGGTTTACTGGGAATACATTGGAAAAGAGATGAAACTTCCTATCTTAACGTCAACCCTTTTTGTCTTATTTACAACTATGACCGTAAATATCTTTAAACACCATAGGATGGAGGTGTTTACGGCCTAAATGCCTCCTAGAATGGTCTTTACGGTCTAGATGCTTCTTGGCATGGAGTTTTCGGCCATAGTGTGGTCCTTTGGGGTGTTTGCGGTCATAGTGGGGTTGCATGGGTTGATTTTGGTCTTGAGGTCCCTCTTGGAAGTGTTTAAGGTCTAGGCATCACTCCTTAAGGAGTGATTCTAGTTCTACTTAAGTCACATAGGGGTTTTCGACCTTAGTGGGGTCCTAGGCCAAAACTTATGAGCCATTGTTTGATTGGTTCTTGGTTTGTCTTGTGAATTGTTAGTGTTACTTACGTCATGTTATCTCAAAGTATATATACATATATACATACATGTGAACCTATAAAACAATGCCCTTAAGGCTTTCAAGGTCTTTATTGTAGTAGGGTTACAGTTTAGACCTTGCTTGACCCAAATCTTTTGGGTTGTCACATCATCCCCCCGTTAAAGGGAATTTTTTCCCGAAATTAGCATATTGGATGGATCTTGCACTAGGAGAAAGTTGCGGGTATCTCTGCTTCATCTGATCTCTACATTCCTAGGGGAATTTAAGTCCTTGCTTGGTGTTCCAGCGGACCTTCGCTATTGGTATTTGACCTTTCCCTTTTGGTTTCCCTGCCCATGACCCCCACATGTTCCTCTTCGGGGTGTAGGTTCTTGTCTACCTAGATTTCTTCGTGTGGGACTGCAAGAGCTTCGACGGTTAAACACTTATTAGGGTTGGATACGTGGAATGTGAAATGTACGATGCTGAGTTCTTATGGTAACTGAAGTCTATAGGTTACCATACCTATTCTCGCGAGGATCTCGAATGGTCTACTGAAGATTGTGTTCCTGGTGTCCTAGAGGTCGTGTTCCTAGGCCTTAAGGATGGCACTATTGTTACTAAGGTTAAGGTTGCGTGTGGTGCATCTGGCTCTATGAATCTTAGGGTGTCTTGGGAGTTTCTTCCTACGGAATTCTGAGTCGGTGGTGTGTCGAACTTTGCTTGTTCCTTGAAGTTGGTCGAATAAGTTTTCGGTTCAGTATAGGGGATATCGATCCTTGACGATGGGTTGGTTCGACTTTTGGGAGTCAATGGTTCTATGGACAATCCGCTCTTCCTCCTTATGAGTCGGATGTGTGCTCTCTAAGGTTAGAGGCTTGGTCTGACAATCTCCTTACTTATTAGGTTGTTCTATTGATCGGACAATATCTGTTTTTGTGTTGATGCTAAGTGGTATTGGGGGTTTGGTTACTGGAATGGTTCCAAGATTTGAGTCGATTCCGAACTCAACTTGGCACATTGGTGATGTTTCCGAAAGAACTTCGGGAATATCCGGGGGAGTTTAAAAACCACTGGGATTCGTTTGATGTCTTTTGCTTATTGTTTCCTATTTCTATTGTGGGTTAGGAAAGAGCGTTGTACGTTTTACATAGGTACTTATGAATCCAAACGCAAGACATGGTTCAGAGGTATGTCGTTATAGGTTGAAAGGGTTTCGTTAATCGGTCGGTTACTGCGAAAGCTCTCTTTGCAGCACATGAAATTG